GTGAGTCTGGCAGAAGGACTCTGCTAGTGAACTACCACTGTTCTTAGTATAAAGTGGTTTCACAGTTCTACTCTTTGGTGTCATTTCTAACCACTGTCTTTTGAATTCTTAAGTCTTTAGCCATACTGAAATTCCTTATGTTTAACACACAGCAAAAGTTCATAGCCCATACACTTTTCATTCAACTTTCAGGTTGTAGTTAGAAAAATATCATACTTTCCTTGATCTGCTACTACTCCAAGTTTATGTTGGAATTCTCCCAGTCTAATACCTGAGCATACTAATTCGTCATAGAAAGCACTTGCCTTTCTATATCTTAATTGGTAATTTTCTTACCTCTACCTGACACCCTCAAATTCTAGTAATTAACTATAAACAAGAGGGCATTCAGAACTATTTATACTTTTCAATATTCATTTCCAGCACTCAGAAAACGCTAGTACCTAGAAGACACTCAAATATTTACAGAATGACAACAAACTTTTTGAAAGCACTGCAAACTTAAAAAAGATTGCCATCACTTACAAGTTGACTGTATAGTATTTCATGTGCAAAATAAGAAATATTTCCTATATGCCATGTTAATATATTTTAGAAACCAGGAATTAAAAAAAATAATATCCAAAAATTCACATTAAGGCCTATATAAATAAAATGTGTATGTTAAATGTAACCACACTACACAATATTCTATATTCCCAAAATACAGCAATGAATGGCTTGGGAAGGTAAGCATTCATTACTTCCTTAGCTTTCCTTTGCAAACTGATCATTACAATGGACAAATTAGGCTATTATAACTTAACAATTGTTTGCCAGAAAACTCTTTACCTTGTTCTTGAGGAGATTTTGATATAGTTAATAATTAAAGAGAAACATGGAAGGAGTGAATTTTAAGAGGGATTTGAAAGGAAGAGAGAACAAAGATACCAAAGAGGACCAAACAGGAGAATATACTGACTTTTAAAGCCATAAAAGGAAAATTCCAGTACTAAAATGATCAGAGACAATAAAAAAAGATGTCATACATTATAACTTAGGACAGGAAGAAGAAACATCAATGAAGAAAAGGTATAACTAAGCAACTGCTAACTAACATAAGTGGAGGTGCTCAAATTGGTAAAGCTTAGTTCATTTACTTTTATCTTAGTGACTGAGTGGTGCCCCTTTGCCAAGAACTAGGTGTATGAATCGTTCCAACCTTGTTGCTGCCCTCATAAAGATTACACCTGAGACAAGGACATAATGAACAAGGAAACAGATTAGGGCTGTTGGAGCGGCTCAAGCTTCAGAGTGCCTGCCTGGCAAGCCTAAAGCCCCAAGTCCAAACCCCAGTACCCAGGCCTCCAAAGAAGAAGCTTGGAAACAAATTAACATAGGGATACATATTCTGTGGGAGGAACTGTAAAGAAGTAACAAATGTCAGAGATCAACAGCACAGCAGAGATGGCCTAGAGATCAATGACAAGAGTCTAGAACCAGCTTAGAACATCTTAACAGGGCCAGATAGGCAAGAAGATAAGTTATGCAAATCATACTGTAGAATGAAATAGTAAACATCTAAAAGAGCTATAACCCAGAAAAGAAAGTAAATATTTTTCTCTCCTTCCTAAAATGGCTTTAACCAAGTGTCTTAGCTTCCTATACTTTGTCCAGATATTTAAATCACCTCAGCAGAACAAATTCAACTTTTAACCAATCTAAATCCATCTGTACTATATGGGGGGAAAAAAAAAACTTTAAGGTCACACTATGACAGCATCACTTTATTATATCAACTTCAGTCAACTATTTTCATTGTTATTGATTTCCTCATCAATAAAACCAAGGCATTCCATTCTATTTCTAAAACAATGACACTATAATGGAAAGAAAGGAAAATCAAGGCTAAAAGCAAATATATAGGAGGTAAAAATGAAATTGGAAAGATTCTGAACATCTTGTATTTTTTTAAGTAGGTTACCAAATATTTTATGCATGAAGATAGGAAGCTTTGAAATAGATATTACATTAAAAGGCAAAGATGTGTTAACTACAATAAAAGTTTTAAGTAAGAAGGGAAGTACTATGATATACATAAAGATAACAATTTTGTGGTATTTTACAAAATGATATTCTCAAAAGAAACCCACTAGAGAAAAATGTTATTTTACTATTAGCAACATTCAAATCTCTTACAATACAAACTTGTGAAAACAACTAGTCATTCCAACAATATAAGGTAAGATTTCCCCTAAATTTTGATATTGTTATTTTCAGTTAAAAATAAAATGATTACATTTTCATCTCATTGATCATTAAAAGTTATATGCTAAGAACATATAATGATGAAGTGTAAAAAATATTTTTATATTTGGTTTTTTTCATATTGTTTTCAGATGAATAGCAGGTATCTATCTGGTCAGCTATTACTGATCAGGAAAGGCCTTGGATTAAGGTAATAATTTACATATATTACCAAACTTAATAGGGTACAGAGAAAATATATTTCTATATTGTTCTAAGAAAGAGAAGTTCAAGAGGTTAAAAGTCTAATTCACATGGAAAATAAATATCCCCTAAGATTTTGCACATACATGTGATAGTTTTTTTTTTTTTTCTGCCCTCACTCACTTTCTTCAACACTCATGAAAATAAAGCAATGATATGCAGTTTTCTCTCTATAGTCCTATTTTTCTGGCTATTTCTACTAGCTTCCTCAGGAATTCTTAGACTCATTTAACAGTTCTATTTCATTATAAATGTTTCAGACTTGAGAAATTAAAGAGTTATTTTCTTTCCTAATCGAATCTATAACAGGATTTTTTTTCTTTAAGGTACACATAACTTCTATTGTGGCCAACTACTGCTCTAAGTTCAGTTTTTAACTGTTTAGAAAATGAGACCTCCTGAAGCCACAAATTCCCTACAGACCATGGGAGAAATGTGTAAAAAGCTTCAAAATACTTGAAGAAACACCATGGAAGACATAAATTAAAATAAACAAACATACTAGAAAGGTGATGATTCTTCAAGTAAATATGACAACCCCATTAAAATGCAATACGCATTATTCTGTGAAAAGGAAATGTAAGAAAATGAAATAGATGCTTTATATAAAATATTTACATATACAATGCACAAAACCCACTATGGTTAGTAACCTTTTGGCTTTGAAGAACCAGATATTTACATATCTTTCTTTCTGCATGTGCATGCGTATCTGTGTTTTGTATATATTTTTAACAGTTGACAGCTGTTTTAGAGCATACAGAGATGCCAAGCTGAATGAGGGTCTTGATTACTTCAAGATTAGCTAGCTAAAGTTTCTATTCATTTTAAGTGTTGTTAGTTGGAAGAGTCATTAGTCACTTCCTTGTCTCATAGAACATCAGCATACATTTACATTGTTAATGAACATTTGGGGTAAATGAATTAATGGCACTTTTAAACATCAATTCAGTCCTAATAACTTAGTATGTCATAGAAATGTTAGGCTAGAATATAAACGAAAAGCCTTTTCAGTAAAGGTAACTACTCATTCCTTCAAACAATAAAAGATAAAATTAATTTAAAATGTTTTTTAACCAGGTTATAAAAAACTCAATATTTAATGAAATAAATGAGAGAAAAATACGCACTTAAAACACAAAAGAAAGCTATGTTCTCAAATAAGCATATAAACCAGAAATAGTATGAAAAATGTTGTTGAAAGTATTTTACATACTGGTAACACAAATATATGTTCATTTTTAAAACCCACTTATAGAAGTGTTTGCAAAATGATTCAACTCATTTAATTATGAGTGCTTCTCATAGGTATTACATTTAAGAGAAAACATCACTTGTAAAGCTTTTGGGCTTTCTTCAGATCATTAAAATCCTGAAACTGAAATGGTCACAATTAATTTTCATGCTATCAAAATCTTAAACAACAGCCTTGTTGACTTTTTATGTGATGAAAAACTTATAAGCAAAACAGTCACAGTTTAACTTTGTATAACAAGTTCATGAATCGCATGCATCTGCATGGTATGGAGGGTGAAGAAGATACCCAAAATCAATAAGCAGTCTCCACTCAGAGCTCAAGTGGCAGAGAAACAGCCATGTCAGGAATCTTCTTCTTTTCTTTTCAATTGTTGTGCTGGGTGGGGATACACTGTGGCATTTACAAAAGTTATTAAATTCCCCAAACATGAGTTAATGGCAGACCCTGACATCAATACAAACACAAAAATAATTTTATTTTAAGCCTAAAAAATATACCTGAATTATTTTGACTAATTTAAGACAGATCTCATAATCCTGATACATACATTTCTTGAGTGAAAAATTACCAGTAGCCACCGAGTCAATGAACTTTATCAAACTTTTAATGAACTACTCAAAAATAAGGATAAAGCTTCAAAAATTCTCACAAATGCTGCTTCCTTCTAAGAAAGTGTGTTATTACGCTCATTATGTAAATACAGAGAAAATGATAAAAGTTCAGATATATACACACTGGATAAATTTTAAGAGGGTAGAACCTGAATATGGCCTACCTTTTCACAGTTTATAATTTAATAATTTTAATATATAGATTTTTAAATGTATGGCACAAATTTGAATTATTTACAAAAAGAAAGGAGGAAAAGAGATTCAGGCTTATCTTTTATTCTGGAAAAATATCAACTTTCTGTAGAAAAAAAAATACCTGCAAAATCAACACTAAAAGTTTAGGAGTCTTTGAAATATGTTTGACAAAGAGCCCTTTACATTTCAACATTCTTAGGCTTAAGTCATTGCCTAGTTTATTTCTTTTTGAAAAGATGATAAATTTGGTAAATGTATTTGTCCATAAATGAAAGTTGACTTTTTGTAGTATTCATCAGTGTCAAGAGTGCGCTATATACATCCAGGGAAATGGTCCTAAAGTTGCCTGTTTGCTTCACAGAGAGAAATACATAATGTGGACAGGGCTCTATAAAAGGAGACCCTCTGCCAGGTTTTCTAGCACATACAAACAGCATCTGCATACAGAACTCACCTCCAGACTTGTTCGAGTAACTGGACAAGGGGTCAATGCCTACTTCTTGTTCTTCTGGCTGAAGAGGATGACTAGTTTCAGATAAGGAATGATACATTGTGGAAACCGGATAGTGTCACCAAAAGTAACTACCTAGGACAGGAAAATAAAATATACAGAAAAAAATCATAAATATACTTCTCTTTCTGCTATTACTGGGAATAAATACAAGACTGAAAAGATTAAATGAGCATTACAGACATTAACAAGTTTTCCACAGGCTCCAGGGCTTGTTACTTACACCTTGGTAGGCTTATGCAAAAAAGCAAGAAGGTGACAAAAAAATTTCCATTTCAACAATTTCTCCCAAAATCTAAACTTCATTTATAACCTTTATTTTGATGTTGAATTACATTTATTTTCAGCAAAATCTACACAAAAAGCTGAACTGGAAACTTAAAAAAAATGCTCATATTTATAACATCTATTGTTTTACTGCCAAAATAATACATGCTCATAAAAGGACTTTCAAAATAGAAAATATGGCAAACTAAAATTATTTAATATAAATTACATAGCACTCTTAACATTTCAGTGTATTATACAGATCCTTCCTTTCTTTGTTTTGGGCATTTAAAGTATACATGTTTTTAATGTAACCCATCATGCTAAGCATACTGATTACATAAATTATCATGAGTGTTTCTTCCCTACCCAGTACAAGAAAATATGTCTATAATTTTTAATGGATCCCCAACATAATTTGTATAACCAATTCCTTATTAGTGAATAATGCTCTAGTAGTTCAACACCACAAACAGGTTCACAATAAACATCTATATGACATAGCCATAATTATTTCCTTACGATAAATTCCTGTAAGTAGAGTTGTTGGGATAAAACACCTATTTTTTTTAAATAATATTTTGGTAAACTGTGTTCTAGAAATACTTGTATATAATAAAACAAATTATTGACAATGTATTTTTTCATTTTTTGAACCAATGTTATAGTCAAAATTTATATTACATTTTCTTGATAGTGAAATTACTGAAGACTTCTTGTATTTTTCCAACAATTTTTTGTTTCTGTGAATTGGATTTATTGTTCTCATTTTTTTTAAAGACACTACTGGAGTTTAAACTCAGGGCTTTGTACTTGCTAGGCAGATGCTCTCCCACTTAAGCACAAGCTAGCCCTTGTTGTTTTAATTTTTCAGCAAGCCTTTGTCATATGATACATCTTTCTCACATAAATTTTTTCATTTTTACACACCAAATATAGCTAGATCTGCATTATGTTTTTTGCCTCTGGTGTTATGATTACAAAGGAGATTATATGAATAACCACCTATATTTCATCATTTTAAGGTTTTTCCCTCAGTTCTTATCCTAAATATTATTTTCAATTATTCCAAATCAAGTATTTTTTAGAAAAATTATCTTGAACACTGTTATACTTTTTAAATGTCCCACAAAAGTTTATGTGTTGAAGGTTGGGACTCCAGTTGATGGAACTATTGGGACCTGGTGTAAACATTAGAAGGTAAGGACTATTAGAGGAAGTTAGGTCATCAAGGGAGCCCTAAAAAAGTATATTGGGGGACCTAAAAACCTTCTCTTCCCTCTTTGCATCTTTGTCATCATGAGGTAAGTAGCTCTGCCAACCCATGCTCTCTGCTATGATGTTCTGCCTCAGAAGAAGCCCAAAAGAAAAAGCCATCCACCATGGACAGACACTTCTGAAAGCATAAGCCAAAATAAACTTTTCCTCCATGAAGTTGATTTTTGCAGGTATTTTGTTACAATGGAATGTATATGTGTTAACAGACATACTAACAACCTAAGAACTTTCTATTTCTGTAGATATCAATTACCTCCTCAAATCAGAATTCTTTCAGAAATAAGCCAGGTTCATCTATTTTTATCCCAAATATGAAAGTAACATAATCTTTTGCATTTCAAGCACAAAGACCAGGAAGGAAAAAGAAATGAGGACAAATAAGTATGAGAGTAAGTTCAAAGAAAATGAGCACTTTATTTATTTATTTGCGGTACCTAATTTTATAAGACATTGTCTTCACCTATGGAGGTAAGTTTTCAGAGATGCCCATGAATACACAAATCCTTCATCATTTTTCCCTAATACAAAATGCTCATCTATCCCATTCACTTTCTCTAATCCCTACCTTATGAAACACTCATGTACATTTTCTGATTTTTATCAGAACCATCCAACCCTATTGCCAAGGCACAATCACTGTCAGATATTAACGAGTCTGATGAAATTGTGGCTATCCCAAGAGAAGGAGAGGGTAAGGGAAAAGACAGTATTTCTATTCTGAACATAAAATAAGAATACCCAAAGTCAGAAAATTCTAAACCATAAATCTACAACAGCTATCAGTATTTGCTTCTTATGTGTGCAAATCAGTAAGTATACATAAAAGAAACTCTGGGAAATATAATCTAGTAGTGAATAGTAAAATGCAGTATAAAACAGAATTTGATAAATTCTGGTAAAAAATAATTAAAAAGAAAGTCTTTTTAAACCAGTAAGGATTACCAAATTCAAGTCTTATGAAATCAGACAAAAAGCATTATTATAGTTAAGGTTAATGAACAATGAACATATGGCAAAAGCTACTCCGAATGTTCACATACACTCATAATTGCATCCTCCATATAACCTGATGTTGAAACATCATCATCATTTTCATTTTACCAAAGAGAAAACTGGTTAAGTTCATCAAGAGCCACACAATTAGTGAGTACTGAAGCCAGACTTTGAATATATTCCACCCAGCTCCAGAGCTCACATTCTTTCTCCTGCACTACATGTAACTCACCATAAGTAGCTGAGACAAAGAAATCAAGGATTAAAACAAGGGGCAGAAGAGGACAGAGCCTATCAATAATTGAAATACCCTTTATTCAACTGAAAAACTTCAGCTTTTTCAAGACAAACTAGTAATCTAGGATCTTGTATGAAATCTCCTCGCTTATAAATATTGGCAAATAATTCAAATTAAAAATAAATACTGTGTAAAACATATTTCAAAATTGTATTTGATCATGGGCAACTATTTTAAGAATCATATTCTCATACATTTTGTTATAGTCCTTAAAAGATGAAAGTAGAAATTTTAAAATATCTATTCCAAGTTAATTGCTATATATCCTTAAAATTTCTTTAATATCCTAAACCATGTTTTCATAGTCCCATTACCTTTTAGAATTAAACAAAGTAAACCTGCTGTCTAATAATACTGAGTTGTTTTCGAGCAACCTGCTGAAGAAAGAGTATGGAGAATGTTCTTTGTTTTCTTTTAATTACGGACTCAAATAATAAACTAATTCAAAAGTAACTTGTTGGGCTGGCAGAAAGGCTCAATTGGTACAGCTCCTGGCTAGCAAGTGTGAGGTCTTGAGTTCAAGCCCAAGTACTGCCAAAAAAATATATATATATAAGCAACTTATTAAGAAGATAGAACTTTGCTTTGTTTCTTTATTTTAGATAAAAAGGGCTATTTTAGCTTTTTAGAATATAATAAATCCTGTGTGTCCATTATTGCTGTTGTGATTACCTTTTACATGTGAAATAATTTTCTTAAGAATTTCCCCCAATTTATGTTTCATAAATACATCAAGAAAAAAATATGACCATTACAAAGCAGAATAACAAAGGTCTTTGAACAAATGCATCTAAATTTATTTTACTCATAATTATAAATAAATTCTTTACCTATAAATGTCAGACTATAAGAAAGTATTTAATGAAAAATTAAATAATCAAGGATATTTTTTGGTCTGAAAATTTTTAAAACAAACAGTATAAAAGTCAAACCAGCATAAGCAGCCAGAAGCTTACAAAGGCCATTACATCTTAAATTTTTATTACAAACTCTGGCTTCCATATTTAATATATCTTAATATTCTAGTTTCTATGTAGAGAAAAGCAAAGACCAAAGACCAAAGAATGCCTCTTAGAAAATGACTACTTAAATTTATAATTGACAGATTTCAGTTCTTTTAAATAATGCCTGGCTCTCTCTTGGTTTCCTGATAAAAATGATATCCAAAAGAGGGTTTTTAAATAAAGATAATCTTTTTTAATTGAGACGGTATAGCAATATGCATTTCAAGATCTCAAAAAGGAACAATCCTTTCTTTGTAATCTTAACTAAAATTTTTCCTGCTTCACATGAACTCAAAACTCTAGAAACTCATACCTGTTTCACAATATGGTTTTACTCCTATTCTGGTCACAGGAGTTGACAAATTTGGCTGACATTCCCATTTAAAATCTAGAACTAATCTTAAAGATAGATGTACTGTTTTCACAAGTCTGGTTCTTACAGTATTAATCCTAAAATAAAAGAAATCTATTGAAAGAAGGGAAGTTCTGGGCAAATGGTTAATAAAAGGGTAAGAGTTTAACACCAAAGCTTAGAAGACAGTTTTAAAGTATACTTAAAACATTTCAAAACAGTATTTTTCATATAAACAAGCAGTCTCTAAGTAAAAAGTTCAAACTACCAGCACTATATAGATAAAACAATAGATTAGTTGAGTAACATTTTCTCTTATGAAATAGAATCACATATACAGAACCACTAGAAAAATAATTTATTCCCTCTAAATATGAAGTTCTACTTGTTTCAGTTTATATTCATTCTAACATTGCTTGTAATACTTCGATATACAATTAGCATTCAGAACTGTGTCATTCTAAATACATCCATATTCAGGAAAACTCATACATACATACTTCATTCATTTGAATTTTTAACTGATGATAAACTTAAAAAGTCAAACACTGAAATGACAGAGTAGTAGTCACACAAAGATTTCTACTATAATAAAAACATAACAGAGAGCTTAAATTGAGTACTTCAGGAATTCAATTATAAAAGGAAGAGATATAGCATGAATAAGTATGTGTTCCAGGTAGCATGCATTTACTATGATCGGTATTTAATCTGAAATATGATATGTTTACTAAAAAAGCAAGTTTCTTCCATAGAAGCTCTATTTTCATAGTTAAGAGGAAAGGTAATTGAGCATTATAAAACTGGCAAAAAAGTTTTTATTTAGAAGTGTTAGCAGCTAAAAGTAAATTTGTTAGTTGAAAATAAAACTGTTCCCTAAAGA